GGGAGCTAAAGGCTTTCAGCATATGAGTTTGAGAGGGATAAAATTCAGTCTGTGACAGGAAGAAAAACAAACGTAGGATACTATGGGATACTAAATTTGTGTATATTTTTGTTATGCTAAGTTTCTCCCTTCTAAGTTTTCACTGTGTCTTTTGGTAAAAGAAACAAATTGAACTGACATTTAACTGCCTACTCAAGCCAGCAGGCATAATCTATAGAATCTTATTTTAGAAGGTCATGAATTATTTCATTAAATTGTTAAGATGTCTTCATATTTAACATAATATGTGAAGTATGTATGTATATCTTTCTCAAAAGTGACTTTTAAAACTCTGCCTTTTTTGCTTTTTAAGATAGTTAATGCTGCAAGAACTGGTTAAATGTGTTAAATTCTGGTAAACAACAGCTTCTATTATTTAACTGGCCCTGTAGAAATACTAGTTTGTTGATAGTAAAGACTTTTTCTTCTAATTTATAAGAAAAAATGAAAGAAAACAAGAGAATCACATCTAATTAGAGAGCCAGCCAGCAGTGTTAATATTATTAAAGAAGTTCCATTTTGTTACCTCTCCTGTGTACAGAGAAATGTGAAATTACAAAGTTTGGATAGTACTCTTCACACTGTTTTCTACATCTAGTCGAATCCAGCCTCCCAACTTTTATCTCCACTGTGTAAGATTCGGTCTGTGGAAATTGGATGGAGAAGCCGTTCTTTGCCACAGATAGGGTAAAGTTTTCTTCTCCATTCCTGTTTTCTACCAAAATTGAAATGGAGAGCAGTTCTTTTCTCTTCATTTAATTGTTGATTCTGCATCAAAATTCCCAAACTCTTGGCGTAATGAGACTTTATAAAAATCTTGGTGGCCACTCTTGCTGATCTCAGGCTCCCAGAGTAAGAATTGAAAACTGCCAGCCAGTAAGACTCCACCCTGCCCAGTTGCAGAGAATAAGCAGATTCATCCCCTCTGCTTGGCAGCTTCTGGGAATTGTGTGACCTCTGAGAGGTCTAGGTAAAACTTAGATGTCTAGGGTCTTGGTGAAACAGCATTTACAGTTCATTGCTTTCAAATCCTAGTTTGCTCCCCTGGTTCTTACTTAAAATTGATGACCCCCAACCCCTACCTCAAGACACCTCTGAAAGCAAGGGACTCAGTGATCTGCTGCACCACTACCAGTGCACTCACTGCAGAATGGTAAACCTTGTCCATGTTCCCAGCAGCTGGCTGAGGTCTCGTCAGCTCATGTGAGCCACTCAGTCTGCTACTGTCCTGATGATGAGTAGGCAGCCTGCCCTGAAGACTTCTGAAATTGTGTTTTCCATCAACCTGGCCCACTGGACATTATCCTGGTTTTGCAGTGACTTCTTAGACACTGCAGTGTGGTAGCTCTCCTAGACAGCAAACCCCCAAAGAATGCTATTCCCACTTACTGTCACTTCCATTCCAGAGGATTATGTTCTCAGGAATACCCAGGTAGAGGCTGTCTATCTTAGAGTGCTCAGTGTCCACTAAGAGATCTCATTGTGCTGCTCTGGCTGAACCCCATTGACTATCAAAATAGGCAAAGCAAAAATGTAGATATTGCTGGACCTGTTGTACCACGGCCCATTCAAACCAGGAATTGTGTTAATTTTGTCTTGAATGAACTAAAATAAAAAGGAATGGGAAGCGAAGGGGAAGGGTGAATGGAAAAAGATGAAGCAGCACCAAATTTTGTCTCAATGATCCTGATAGAGCTGCAGTGCCCCTACGCAGGGCAAACAGGCAGCTACTTCTTTATGTATAAAATGTAGACAATAGATAGGGCTGTAATGATGACATGATTGGGTGTGTATCAAGGGCTTGCTGTAGCACCTGGAGGATGACGAGCATTTGGTAAATAGTCATCATTGCTGTTATTGTTACTGCTACAATTATGTGCGATTAGAAATGGAAAGAAACCAAGCTTGGACAGCAGCTTTACCCATCTCTCACTGGACAACCCTGAGACAGTTACTCGATTTCTAAGCCTCATCTGAAAAATGGGAATTATAACAAAGGAATGAATAATTGCATTCATTAGAACAATTACACATTTTAACTATCTCTGTCTTTTGGGGCACCTGGATGGCTCAATCAGTTAAGTGTCTGACTCTTGGGTTCAGCTCAGGTGGTGATCTTGTGGGTTGTGTGATAGAGCCCTGTGTCTAGCTCCATCCTCAGCAGGGAGTCTGCTTGAAGATTCTTTCCCTCTGCCTCTACCCCCCACTCATGTGCTCACTCACTCAGTCTCAGGTAGATAAATCTAAAAAATCTTTAAAAAAAAATTCTGCCTTTCCTTATCTAGATGGAATGGCTTAAAAAATGAGAAGATGGACTTTGAAGGCGACTAGTCAGGGTATGATGCAACATCTGAGTGAGCGCAGATACTTAGTGAATCCTATTTGTAAATAAGAACTTAATGCAAACCAGACTTAGCATAATATATACATTTTTGGAACCATATTTATCATATTCCCTTAAAACAGGCTGTCAGGGACAACTTTGTCAAAACACTTGTTATTTTGGTCTTCAGATAAAGCAAGTTAAAAACTAAAGCTATATTGTGAAATTTAAAAGGAATATTCTGTATCTTTCCTAAGAGACTGGGCTCTAATTCAGCCGAATACAAGAAGTTAAATTAGTTGATTAAGCTTATTTATGTCAGAGCTGTGAGCAGGTAAGATGCTGTCTAAATCAGATGGCCGAGGATCGAGTTAACATTACTCAGATAGTAAAACATCTGCTCAAGTGTTCTGTGTCTTCCAGGCAATAAGAGCATGAGAGCAATATGCCTGCTCACAATAATTAGAAAGTAGGCGAATAACGACGTTTTGGAAAAGACGAAAGGAAATGGGACGGTTCAGATGGTGATACTACAAGTCCAGAACTGCCACTTCATTGATACTTGATTACGTCTGTAAATACCTATGATGTGACAAAAAGAAACTGTTACTTTAAGGACATTAACGAAAATGCCTACTTCTCTCTGAATATATCCTAAAAGTAGTATTGTGTTGGCCTATTGAACGAGGCTTCTCATCAGCCCTTCCCTAGTTATTAGTCTCAGGCTTTGTGTTCCTCTTTATTTGGCTAACTGCATGATTATGACGACAAACTCTGGAATCAGCAATCATATTTTCATTATATGACCTTTGAACTGTGTTTACTGGGATTTGGTAGAGCCTGTCATCCATACTCAGAGATTTGAAGCTTACCCCTAAATGAATGCCACATGCAATTAATTTACAAGAGAAGTAATCTGAAGCTAGAGTGGAAGCTAGTTCTCTCAATGGTTTTCAGAATGCTTTGCCACATCTAACACAAGAAACTCCGAGATACTTCAAGGTATTCAATCCCAGTTATTGTCCTCCAGTTCATTTAGTGAACAGAATATTTTTTATTAGCAGACTATCATAAATAAATAAAATTTAAAAAATATATTAACGATAAAATCCATATAACAAATACTTATCGAGCAACTACTATCTGCGGGACAATTAGCAGGTTACAGTGAGAGGACTGACATGTGCCTCTGTGGTATTTACTCGTCCTTGAGCTTGTTAGAGTCTAGAAGGAATCAGTGGTGAAAGATGAAGTCTAGGCTCACTGGCAATGACCCACATGGCTGAAAACATCCATGTGTTAGAGACCAGACACAGAAATGTCTGTATCCTCCCACCAAAGTGTAATTTGGTGACTTTCCCACCATTTCCTCTAGTAAGAATGAGAGTGTCAATATGGCCAAATATTCTCTTGAAGTTCCAGTTGCCTATATGTTACTTCCTGAGGAGATGCTGGCATCTAGAAAAAGATGCTCTCTAGGACAGTGCTTCTCACACTGATGCAGGACCAGTGACTTTTCTTTCTTTCCCTTTGCCCCAATCCTTCGCAGATGGCTACTTCAAGAAAGAGAAACATGCAAAACGTGAATCTGTTTTTTGCTATGAATGAAACGTTTCTTTTCATCGCTAGGCTTGTAGACCATACTCTCAGAGGCTGCCCTGAGCTCCTCTGATCACACACATTCCAGGAACTCTCAACCTCTAACCTTACAGCCTCTTTCATCCTGTCCCCTGAACTCACCTTCACCTCCCAGGAAACTGCAAGGTCCTTCTTTTAAAAATCCAGCAACATCTTGTCACTCCCATCCTCAAATTCTCCCATAGCACCTATTGTTGCCTCCTGACCCAGTGATGGCATTGACAGGAAAACCCTTCCTTCCTTCTCTGCCCATGGAATTTGGCACCTCTTTTTCTTTCCCTAGTGCACCCTCAGAAAGTTTTCCTAGGGTTCTGGCCTAAATGTCAGGCTCTGTACACTTTAAAATGTGAATATCAGTGTCTGAAATGGGGTTGGGGGATTTTCTTTAAGATTTGACTCTCTTGTGAGGTGGGCGGGGTGATGGGGTAACTGGGCGGCAGACACTAAGGAGAGCACATGACGAGATGATCACTAGGTGTTAATCCTCTATGTTGGCAAATTGAATTATTTAAATAAAAAATTAAATTAAAAAAAAAGATTTTACTGTATTCCTGGGTGAAAAGTGGGCTAAGCAGAGCTAACCGTGTGTGTGTGTGTGTGTGTGTGTGTGTGTGTGTGTACATGTCCTCACCGGCTAAAAAAAGGAGGGTACCCTCGCTAACATATAAAGTGAAGGAATGTGTGACTTCTCTTGTTTTCTCTTCTTGCTTTATGTCCCTTTACTGTGACCAGAACTTTGGCAGGAGGAGTGGAACTCTATACAAAGAGCCTTTTGTAGAAAGTCAATGGATATGTTTCTTCTGCCAATGACAGGGATCTTAACTCTCTGACCATGTGTATCCTTATCTCTTACATGAGATGATTAGATACCATGATCTCTAAGATCACTTCATCTAGAAAATTCTGTAATTTTCTGACATCCTCAAATCCTTTTGTGTACCCTATTGACTTATCCCCTCCCAGGGCTATATGTTAACCTCATTTTCTTAATTTCTTGTAGCACCTGTATTCCGATTAGAGGCTGAATAAGTGACATTCAGAACTTCCACTAAGGTACTATAAGGTAAGAGCTTTTGGGGGGTTGAGTTCTTTGCTTTCATAAAAGGATTTATGGCTTGATCAGTGAAACATTAACAAAGAATAGGAATTCCTGAGTCAGTGTGTTTCAATATGATTATAATTGCTCCCTGTGCATCTTTTTTTAAATTTATTTATTTATGATAGTCAGAGAGAGAGAGAGAGAGAGAGAGGCAGAGGGAGAAGCAGGCTCCATGCACCGGGAGCCTGATATGGGATTCGATCCCGGGTCTCCAGGATCGCGCCCTGAGCCAAAGGCAGGCGCCAAACCGCTGCGCCACCCAGGGATCCCTCCCTGTGCATCTTAATACAGATATACTAGTCATGCTCTATTTTTGCATCTTAGTTAAGATACTTCTTTTGCTTGTTTGCTGATAATATTCAAAATTACAATGAAAGCATGTTTGTTAAAATATGAAATAAGTTGTTTTATTTCAAATACTCATTTCTATCTTAATTGTAGCAATATGGGGTTATTGGAAATTAATGCAAAATATTTGAATTTTTAGCATATATGGAATCTTATAGCTCATCTAATTTTTAGAAGCTTAAATATTATCCCTTGATTTATATCACTTTATCCACAATGCTGTACAAAATCTGCTAGTGAATATAAAGAAAAAGCAATGTGGGGAAAAAATTGAATCTCCTTTAAACGTTGTTTAAACTTTATTTAGCAGACAGTGCTACTAGCCTACCCAATATCCCTTCACCCTTCCATAATAATAATACTAATTGTGATGTTTTGAAGGGCAGTGAACTGCCTACTTTGGAAATCTGTTCCTTCCCTGGCTCCTTTACTGAAGCCACATATGTAAGTCGCTTCTGGCTAATGACTTGTGGATGGTGAGCTCCAGGGAGGGCTTCCCTTCTTGAGTTTATTCCCTTCTTGATTTTATTTCATTCCTGAAATAAAAGAGCAGGGCTTCAAGAGCAGAATATTTTTGGAACATTTACTATTACTATTGCTATTACTCCATCTTCCTACCTGGAAAGCTATTCTAAAATTTGTAGCCAAATTTTAACTTACAGAGGTAACTGAATGATGACACAGAGAGGTCAGTGCCATTGAAAGGAGACTATTACTTACACATCCTGAGAGAAAGGCCACTCCCTGCCACCAGGGCCACCTGAGGAAGCACCAGCTTTGACCTGGAGGCAGAAGACAGAATGAGAAGAAAGTCTAAGTCAGAAAGAAAGTCTTTCAGAAAGAAAGGCTAAGTCAAAGCCTTTATTGGGAAGGTCTGTGGGAATAGCTTTGCAGGGCAGGGCACTTGGTTGAGGACTGGCCAGTTGGAACAGTGTGGTTGGTGTCTGGATTAGAGGGATGATCTCTGGCTGTCTGGTCCCTGGCCCTGTATGACTTAGGGCTGGGGAAATACTGGCTTGGGGTGTAAAAGAGGAGAATTGAGACTGTAGATCCCGGATTGCTTGGTTTACATATGAAAGGTGTGCTCTGTGCCACGTTCTTTGCCTTATGTAAGACTGGCTAGCTTGGGAGAAGCAGTCTATCCCTGGGCAGCCAGCTTTTAAGATCTCAAAAACATCATAAAATACATGAAAAACCAGATTAGTACCCAGCACAGCCCCCATCTCATCATCCCAAGGACAAAAGCCACAGCTAGAGATGTTGGCAAAGAAACATAAGTGAGCTTGACTCCTTGATGACATTCCTTCTCTCTAGCAAGTTTACCATACACTCTCCTGTGGCATAACTCAGATAAATCCCTGATTTGTTAGATCTCCTGACACTTGGAGCTGAATGCAGACATAGCTGATTCATGGACATTCAGATCAGGGCATTGTGCTAGACATGCCTCTTTCATCTTCACAAGAGTGCCATCCAGGTATGATTATACCCATCTACAGATGAGGAACCTGAGATGTTAAGAACTGTGGCCTATGATTACAGGCTGTCAAAGGCGATTTTTGAACTGGACCTGTCAGGTGCCTTTCCCCATACTCTGCTACCTTGATGCTTACCCTGACAATATATGCCAGGAGCCTGTGCTGTTGCTGATCACATCTGCTAGGTAGTCAGTGGCATTGCCAGCTCACGAGCCCTTTGAATGTTTGCTCTTCAATAATACGGAATTCCTATTAGACTATCCATTTATGAAACTAAGTAAACTGAGGCTATTTCACATTAAAAGAGAAAAAAGAAGAGAAGGGCAAACTCTAATTTGGGGAAAACAAGGTGAATTAGGACTGCCTATGAAAGCAAGTGAAGGAAATATTAATTCCAAGGTGGGTTGGTTTTGCTTTTTTTAAATTTTTTTTTAAATAAAAGGTTAGAACTAATGGTCTCAATATGGCCACAAAATTCAGCTTTTGACCTACAGTCCTAATATTAAATATTCTCCTTCTGACAGCCTCTATTACTTCACTCATACTTACTGGGTTCAGGAAGGGGGTGGAAATGCAGGTAAAAGATAAGTTATATAAAGAAACTCCTTTCCAAAGAAAGTCATGCACGATATTGAAAAAGGTACTGAGCTGGGTCAGGGAAGGAGGTGCTCAGGTAATGGGAAAGTCTCTGGGCTGGAAAATGCAAGAGGGGCAATGCAGGTGACAGCCAGCTCTTCTGAGGCTTAAAAATGCCATCTCACCTCCCCAGACCTTTGTTCTTCATTTATAAACTGAGGATGTCAGATATTCTGATATTCTCTGTGTGAAAGAATAGCTTACCTTGTCGGATCTCCTTTGTTCATGCCAGGGACATGCTGTATCCACTAAAGCCAACCTTTCCTTTTGGCCTTTGAAGCTATGAGTTCTCACTGATTTTCCTGTCCCTTTCTTCTCTCTCAAAGTGATCCTGAATCCCTTCCTTTCTTTCTGTCTCTTCTGTGGTGACCGCAAGTCCTTCTGTCTTGCCTGGACAGCTTCATCAGCTTCCTGATGGTCTCCTGGCTTCCATTCTTGTCTTACCAAAGTCCCTTCTGTGTGCAGCAGCCAGTGTCCGGGGATCCCGGGTCACATCTTGTTACTCTCCTGCTTGGGACCGGCTTAGAACCCTTCAACCCATGCCTTCCTCTGCATTAAGGGCACAACGTACAACGATACCTTACCCTTCCCATACCTTCCTCCTGGCTTCCCAGCACCAGTGTCTGACCTCTATACTGTTCCTTGAGTGTTTCTTTCTGTTCCTGTCCCCATCCTGAGGCCCTTTACATTCACAGCTCTGCTGCCGCAATCTTCCCTAACCACTCTCTGGAAATGAGTGCTTTCCAGGCACCTGAATTTAATTCCTTCGAAAAACTAGGAATTTTATTTTGTAAAGTGTACTACAATACCCCCCCATATGGTAAACATATGTACACATTACAACTTAAGCGATTTAGGCAGGAAATGAAGAATTCAGCCAGATTTGTTGATAGTTTGTTGCTTATCTCTGCCGTAGAATGATCTAAGGTCCTTGGGTTTCTTCGTTGCCAAAACCATGGTGCCTATAAGGATGCCTGTTCCCTGCCAGAAGCTTAGTAAATATTTACTGAATGAATGAATGTAGATGCAGAAAATGCCATAGGTCAGATATCCCAAAAGAAGCTAAGCAGAGCTTACAGGTGCCCCCAATAAGTCTACTGCTTCCGAAGGAAGGGAAAAAAAATAAAAGATGAAAAAAACAAACAAACAAAAAAAAACTTCTAAGGGGAGGGACAGATAGCCGTGCACACAGAAATAGCAATCAATATTTGGGAGGGACCATTCCAGGTATTTTTTCCCAGCAGTGTGTTTGGTCTGTGATGATGTGTGGCAGAGGCCAGTTCTCTGGATCTCACATAGATTTATTGGCTAAGCTTGGCACATAGATGATCAGAAATGCTTGTGGAATGAAGGCCCAAAAGATGAAATAATAAATTATTGAACTGCTAAGAGCATTTTGCCTTTTTCTTTAAAGTGGGCATGATAATATTCCCTTGATGCCAATATTCAGTCCGTGTTAGTAACAGGCATTCCAAATACACTGAGTGTGAAAAATGTTCCATGAAACAGAATTTGGTTACTGTGCTAGGCATCTCCCTGAGAGCATTTCAGAATTCATTTATTCTTCAAGTAAATTGTCACAGTGACTATTCAGAATGGCACACCGTGCTAATGTATTAAAATGCGGATGGGAAAATGGAAACTAGAAAAATGTCTTATCTGTCAATTAAATGATGTAGCCTCGTAGTTAGATTATAGCAATTTGGGGGCTTTTTGTTTTTTGCCAATTGAGATTTGACAGCCGTTTATAAAATATTTACATTCTTATTTCAGGCACATTGACAGCACTTTTGGGTCTTTGGAAGATGTTAATTACATGTTAGGAAAATGTTTTAAAAATTTTTGAAGCCAATCTGGTGAGGGGAAAAAAATCTGTTTTTTTTTTCCAAATTGTACAAAGGAAGGAAATTATTAAAGGATATATATATTTTTTTAAATTTTTATTTATTTATGATAGTCACACACAGAGAGAGAGAGAGAGAGAGAGAGAGAGAGGCAGAGACATAGGCAGAGGGAGAAGCAGGCTCCATGCACCGGGAGCCCGACGTGGGATTCGATCCTGAGTCTCCAGGATTGCGCCCTGGGCCAAAGGCAGGCGCTAAACTGCTGCGCCACCCAGGGATCCCTAAAGGATATATTTCTAATAAAAGTCAGAAATAATAGATGTTTGTGTTCCAAAGAACTACTGCATGTAAGGTGAAGGAATATTCTTCTCCACCCTGTCTTTTCTGGGCACCTTAGCTTTTCTTAATCAGCTCTGTCCAGCTAGATACATGCTTCTCATTTTTTTCACTTTATTATGCATATGTAATGTTTGTGTGGTACATGGGTAAATTAGACAGGATTTGGGACCATCTTTATGGAATTTTGCAGGAAAAAAATCCATACATATTTTTAGTACTGAAAGTAGATTAAATAAATGTTGGGAACAACACTAGGCATTGAATTTATATAGAATTTTCCTGGAAATGGGCAGCCCGGGTGGCTCAGCGGTTTAGCGCT